GAAAAATAAAAAAAAAAAAAAAAGTACTGACTGGGCTGGCAAAGTACAGCTCTTGCTGCAAAAGCCTTGTGACCTGTGCTCAACCCCTAGACCCCACAGTGGAAGAGAACTGACTCGCAAAAATGTCCTTTGGCCACCTGCCATGGTGCCACACTCATGCTCTCTCCTACACCTACACACACACACACACACACACACACACACACACACACACACACACAAAGAAGTTTGCTTTTTTTTAAAAAAAAAATACATTGATGAGCCAACAAGACGGCTCAGTAGGTAAATGTGCCTATCACTAAACCTGATGAATTGAATCCCCAAAACCTTCCCACATGGTGAAAGGAAGAAACCGATTCTGACAAGTTGTCCCCTGACCTCCACATGTACTCCTTAGCAAACAGACACCCACATACATACAATAAACAAATAAATGTAAAAATAAGCAAACATATATGCCATTAATCTAAAGTTCAAGAAGACAACACAGAATTTCATTTCTAAGAGGCAGAGGATCAGCAGGTGGCTCAGTGGGCAAAAACACTTGCCACACAAGCCTGGAGACCTGACTTTGTCAACCCTGGAATTCATATTAAGCTGGAAGGAGAGAACCAACTTTCCAGCGTTGTCCTTTGACCTGCACACACACCACAGCACACACACTATAATAAAATAGTAAATAACAACAGAAGAAATGGCTCAGTTAAGAGCAATTACTGCTCTTGCAGAGGACCTGGATTTAGTTTCCAACAACCACATAAAGTAACTCACAACTTGCTGAGATAATCTGATAATCTTTTTGTACATTGTATAAAGATGTGTCTTTGTCCTTCCTCACCTGCCTAAGGCACGTTACAATCAGTTTAATAAAAAGCTAAATAGCTAGACAGGAGAGGATAGGTGGAACTTCTGGAGAGAAATAGGAAGAACTGGAGGTGCAGGTGAATTGCCAGTCAGATGTTGCAGAAGTCAGACATACTGAACTGAGGAGAGGTAACAAGCCACGTGGCAGAATGTAGATTAATAATAAATCGGTTAATTTAAGTTTTAAGAGCTAGTTGGGAACAAGCCTAAGATAAATCCAAGCTTTCATAATTAATAAAAAGCCTCAGGCGCACACTTTTAATCCCGCACTTGGGAGGTAGAAGCAGGAGGATCTCTGTGAGTTCGAGACCAGCCTGGTCTACAAGAGCTAGTTCCAGGACAGGCTCCAAAGCTACAAAGAAACCCTGTCTCAAAAAACCAAAATAAATAAATAAATAAATAAAAATAAAAAAAAGCCAGGCTGGAGAGCTGGCTCAGAGGTTAAGAGCACTGGCTGCTTTTCCCGGAGGTCCTGAGTTCAATTCCCAGCAACCACATGGTGGCTCACTACCATCTATAATGAGATCTGGCGCCCTCTTCTGGTCTGTAGACACACATGCAGACAGAACACTATATACATGATAGATAGATAGATAGATAGATAGATAGATAGATAGATAGATAGATAGATAGATAGATAGATCTTTTTAGAAAATTTAAAAAGCCTCCATATCACTTTTCAGGAGCTGGCAGTCCAAAAACAGTCCAGTTATATTTGGCACAACAACAACTGCCTGGAACTCCAGTTCTAGATGAATCAATGCCTTCTTCAGCCTCTGTGGGCTAGCACACCTGGTGCACAAAAACTTAGGCTGCACTTGGAGAACCCAGGTTAAATTCCCAGCACCATAAAGTGACTCACAACTCTTTGTAATTCCAATTCCAGGGCACTACAGAGTGATGCACAAACAAACATGTAGGCAAATGCTCGTAGAAACAATAAATAAAATGCCTAAGAAAAAATGTTTAAAGAAAACTTTTGGATGAAACACAAAGAATAATGAGAGTCCAACTGGAGAACGCTGAGCCAGCCAAGTTACTCTAATGAAAACAGTCCCTTTGAGAAAGTTACACTGTACATAGAAAGAAATGCAGCTGCTGTCTACCTGACTCCAGAGGAGCTGCACAGTTCTCATGTAAGCTAGGAATGAGCTTAGCAGCAATAGCTTTTAACTTAAAAAAAAAAAGTATTTATACTGTTCTGCACGCATGCCTGTACGCCAGAGGAGGGCATCTGATCTCATTACAGATGGCTGCGAGTCACCATGTGGTTACTGGGAATTGAACTCAGGACCTCTGGAAGAGCAGTCAGCACTCTTAATCTCTGCGCCATCTCTTGAGCCCCAGCTTTTAACTTTTTTGAGAGAGTTTTACTGTTTAGCTCTAGCCCGTCTTTGCTGGGATTAAATGTGTGCATCACCACACTGGGCCCAGCAATAGTAGTAGTGCCGGCTTTTCAAACAGTGGCTTGCTTTACTTTCTTCACACACTTGCACCACTCAGACTTCCACAAACACAAGAGACTCAAAACGCCAATATTCAAACCAACTTTCTGCCGAATTCTGAGCGACTGTCATAAGCTCCTGAGTGGTTGCCCAGGGCTACGTTCTCCGCACACACCTGCAGCTGCAGCAGCAGAAAGGCTGAGGCAGGTGGTTACAGTGCCAGACCAAGTCTAGGCCACACACAGAACACAGGCTGCACTCACTTCAGTAAGCCTCTAAAAGAACAGCACAGCACTGAGATGGCTCCATAAGGCACCTCCAGATCCCCAGCACCACATGAAAACCAGACGGGGGTGAGAGCCCAGTAATCCTAATGCTCACAAGGAGACCTGGGAAGCCGAGTCTAAATTGGCTTGCTGGACAAGCTGAAGCAGCAGGCTCCAGATCCAGGAGATTCTGCCTCGGTAAAACAGATCTAAGAAAGACACCCAACAGCCTCCACAGGCACACACCTGCACACACAAAAGATTCAAAGATTCCCACTTGGAAAAGCCGGAGCTTAAAATGGAAAGGTGACTTCTAAAGTCAACTCCAAAACGATATGCAGAAGGAACAGAAGGGACGCTTCCCTGAGCCAGATTCAGGCTTTCAAAGAGAGACCACTATTCCCAACGGCTAGGGAGCGTGCTTTTCAAAGCTAAAAGTTACTCTCCTAACACCACTAGGTGTCCCCAGGCAGTAGCAGAGTGCTTGCCTAGCATTCCTGAGGCCCTGGGTGTGATCTCCTAGGACCCCAAAATAAAAATAAATACCCTAGGATCAGTCAAAGTCCGTCCTCAAGGAAGGGTTTGGTATGTTCCTCAACATGCTGAAAGTCTGTCCACAAGCCAAAATTTTCCTTTCCTTTAGAAAAAAAAACATTTTTTCCAAGTTTCATACAAGTATATACCCATAGCTGTGGCTACAAGGGCTAGGACGAAAGAGCAGAGGGAAGGAAAGGAAAATGGCCCTCCCAAGGATCGCATCTTCTCACAGGACTCTGTAAAGGAAATCTTACCACTGGAAGGCCAAAAGGCTGATGGAGAGAAAGACAGACAATGTGGGAGACGTTTACATGGTTGTCTGCGTGTTTAAGAGTTCCTCGGGAAACAAGACCAAATAAAGCTAGCAGAGTCAGTTCCAGGTGAGAGCTTTAAGTTTTAGGAGTGGGTTGTCTCGTCTACAATGTGGAAGATGTACCGAGCACAGAGGCCTGGTTATGGTTTTAGCCTGATAGCCTTGCATCCGAATCCTCCTGAGGATTATCACGAGGGGCAGAAGGGGAACTACCTTCTGAATCGGACTTCTGTGTCGTGTGTAACAGGAGGCGCCTGTCGCCTACTTGTGAGGAATGAATGAGATAAGGCGTGCAAGGCACTTTCCCAGGATCTGGCGCTAGTAAGCGCTCTTTAAAGAAAGACAAGCAAGGCTCGTAATTCACGTCCGTTATTTCCGCACTAAGAAGGCAAAGGCAAGAGGATAGGAGTTCAAGGCCTGCCCGTGGTACAAGAGACCTAGCCTCAAAACAAAACAAGCACTCCTAAGTGAGAACCGTGAGCTTGTTTGGTAACAATTCATCTTGTGTCCGAAGGCTGGCACAGCACCCGGAATCGCTTGGAAGATAAAGGCACGTCTGCTGATTTAATCAATACCGGCATCAGCCAAAAATAAAGGAAGGCGGGAACTAAGGATGCCCGCGGGAAGAACCCGCGGCGTGGGCAAGGCACACGCGAGGCGGGGCAGGGCGCGGGGACACTACGGCGGGGCCCGGGAGTGGGGGTGTCTTCCAGGCGACCCCGAGATGTCCAGCAGTGCCTACGGGGAGCGTGGTGGAGGAAGCGCGGGAGCGTGGGGAGACATGAGGCATAGAAATCGCGGAAAGGGAAGGGAGAGCGATCGGCCCGCTCCAGAAGTGTCTTCAGCCCCGCGAGAGGGGACGGTTTGGACCTAACTGCCGCCCCGGCGGATGTCCGTCCACCCAGCCTGGGCTCGTTTCCTCCACTGCCGCCGAATCCCATTCCCAACTCCCGCCCTGCGCCCACCCGGCACCGCACGGCCACCCCCGCCGCCGCCGCGCCCCACTCCGCACCTCACACACGGCCCACCGGCGGCAGCCGCCATCTTCGCGCGCGCGTCCCAGCCCCGCCCCCATACGCCAGGCTCACGTGACCGCGCACCGTACGACGAGGGGCGGTGCTTTCCGTCACGTGACGGGGGGACGGGCCCAGGATGGGGCTGTCAAGATGGCGCTGCCCATGGCTGAGTGGTGTCCGCGGTGGAGGCGGTGGAGCCTGTGAGAGGTGAAGAGTGCAAACGTCTGCTACACCGTAGGTTGGAGGCGGTGGAGGGTGACTGTGCGCCGGCTCCCAGGCCTCACAGTGGCCCGTAGTGGAGCACCCTTTTGGAAGCTGGAGAAGGTTGCTGGCTGGGTGAAGTTGCTGCCCTCTGCTTGGCTGCTTGAGGGCCTCAGAGGCCAAGGCGTCCCTAGTCACCAAGCTTCCCCAAGAGCCCCAGACCTAGAGACATGACCCGACAGTGCCCTCCCCCAGTCCCGGAGTCTGGGTTTCCGCTGAGCGGGTCGGTCCTAGCGGAGGCTGCAGTGGTGTTCGCAGTGGTGCTGAGCATCCACGCTGTGGTGTGGGACCGATACTCGTGGTGCGCCGTGGCCCTCGCAGTGCAGGCCTTCTACGTCCAGTACAAGTGGGACCGGCTGCTCCAGCAGGGGAATGCCGTTTTCCAGTTCCGAATGTCCGCGAACAGTGGCTTACTGCCGGCCTCCATGGTCATGCCCTTGTTTGGGCTGGTCATGAAGGAGCGCTGCCAAACTGCGGGGAACCCGTACTTCGAGCGCTTCGGCATTGTGGTTGCAGCCACTGGCATGGCAGTGGCCCTCTTCTCCTCTGTGTTGGCCCTGGGCATCACTCGCCCTGTGCCCACCAATACTTGTGCCATCTCGGGTTTGGCCGGAGGCATTATCATTTATATTATGAAGCACTCCCTCAGCGTGGGCGAGGTGATCGAGGTCCTGGAAGTCCTGCTGATATTTGTTTATCTCAACATGATCCTGCTGTACCTGCTGCCCCGGTGCTTCACTCCTGGAGAGGCACTGCTGGTACTGGGTGCCATTAGCTTCGTCCTCAACCAACTCATCAAGCGCTCTCTGACTGAAAGCCAAGGGGACCCAGTGGACTTCTTCCTGTTGGTGGTGGTGGTAGGGATGGTGCTCATGGGTGTCTTCTTCAGCACTCTCTTTGTCTTCATGGACTCAGGCACTTGGGCCTCTTCCATTTTCTTCCACCTCATGACCTGTGTGCTAGGCCTTGGTGTGGTTCTGCCCTGGCTGCACTGGCTCATTCGCAGGAACCCTCTGCTCTGGCTTCTTCAGTTCCTCTTCTACACAGAAACTCGCATCTACCTCCTAGCGTATTGGTCTTTGCTGGCCACCATGGCCTGCCTGGTGGTGCTGTACCAGAATGCCAAGCGATCATCTTCTGAGTCTAAGAAGCACAGGGCTCCTACCATTACCAGAAAGTATTTTCACTTCATTGTGGTAGCCACTTACATCCCAGGGATCGTCTTTGACCGGCCACTGCTGTATGTGGCTGCTACTATATGTCTGGCAGTCTTCATCTTCCTGGAGTATGTGCGCTATTTCCGAATCAAGCCCTTGGGTCACACTCTGCGGAGCCTTCTGTCCCTCTTCCTGGATGAACGAGACAGTGGACCCCTTATCCTAACACACATCTATCTGCTTCTGGGCATGTCTCTTCCCATTTGGCTGATTCCCAGGCCCTGTGCACAAAAGGACAGCCTGGGAGGAGCAAGAGCCCTGGTCCCCTATGCTGGAGTCCTGGCTGTGGGTGTGGGTGATACTGTGGCCTCCATATTTGGCAGCACCATGGGAGAGATCCGCTGGCCTGGGACTAAGAAAACATTCGAGGGGACTATGACTTCTATATTTGCACAGATCATCTCTGTAGCTCTGATCTTAATCTTTGACAGTGGAGTAGACCTGAACTACAGTTATGCTTGGATTTTGGGGTCCATCAGTACCGTGTCCCTCCTGGAAGCGTACACTACTCAGATAGACAATCTCCTTTTGCCTCTCTACCTACTGATCTTGCTGATGGCCTAGTGGTGGTAGCAGCTGGGATGGTGGAAACAGGAAGAAACAATGAATGGTCCTCACAGCAGCTAGCCACTTGAACGCCAAGAACCTAGGGGTGAAAAGCAGATTTTGTTTTTGTTTTTGTTTTTTTCAATTGATTCAGACTTAAAATAAACAAGCAAAGCTCTCTTGGTTTTATTTTGCTGATAATTAGAATGCAAAAAGGCTTAAAGGCATACACCCATTTAGAGAAGTTGAATATGCTGCAAAGCCCCCATCTTGTAGTCTAGGGAGGGCATTGTTGGAGTGGACCCTGAAGGCAGCAGAACAGAAAGCCTAATGCTTAGGTGTCAGGTGTCCAACATGTCTGGTCAGAATCCTTGGCCATTCAGCCCTAGGTGAGTCTGAGCCTCAATTCTTCTACCTGTAAGATGGGAATAATGGATACTATTCTCTACTAAGAGGAGGTATATGAGGTATCCAAAGTATTCTGTCTGGGGGCCAGCAAGATGGCTCAGTGGGTAAAGGTACTTGCAACACAAGGCTGAGGACCTGAGATCAGTCCCTAGAACCCACATAAAGGTGAAAGGGGAGCACTGCTTCCCCAGAGTTGCCCTCTGACCTCCACATGTGTGCTGGCCCATGCATGCCTCCATGGATATCACATACTTTTAAAACATTCAGCCTGTGACCCACCTATGACCAGAAATCAGTTAGGGAAGTGTCACTATTGCCCAAGAGTAAACTTGCCTCAGAAAAAAAAAAAAAAAAAAAAAAAACAGGCAAGATAGGAGGAAGATAGGTTGTACTTGGAAGCAGGAGTGACCTTTCATCTCCTGGCTTCACTCAGAGGAAAACCCAAGAGCAAAGAGCTGAATACATGCATTGTCTCCTGCTTGGACTAGGAAGAACTGAAGAGAGCCATAGCCAACTTGTGTGCATAGAAAGGCTGACGAAAGATCCCACCCTGCCTCTGCTGCCTAGAGGAGAGGAACTGATATCTAGAAGGATGAACCCAACAATCCTTACACTCCAGACCTGTCCAAACCTGGATCCATCTCTTCTGGTGCGGAGTCCAGATCCACAGAGGTTGGGAAGTTTCTGCAGAATTCCTAACAGTTCCTCTGTAGGTGTGGGTGCAGGCTGTCTAGTTCCATACCTGAGTCTTCAGGTTTCCCAGGGTTTGCACAGAGCCTGACCCTGTGGCAAGAACTTGGTAGACACTGACTAAAATGGGCAATTGCCATCAGAAGATAACAGCAGGATTCCCAAGGCCTTCCCCCAGCGTGGCAAGAGGAGGGAGACAAGGCCAGAACCTAGAAATGGGACTCTAGCAAGCTGAAGTCTCTTCCTGTGAATCACAGCCAAGCCCTTTCCCTTAGAGCACTGGGCCATTCCTCTGAAGCCAATGGGAAATACTAGCCCTATCTTCATTCTCTCTCCTCTGTGTCAAAGGAGGTGGCCCTAAGTTGGAGGAAGGGCACCAGCTTGCTCACCAACTCCCTGGCTGGCCTTGCAAGCATTCTGCTGGGCTTTCCAGTTGGTAGAGGACTAGACCCAGCTACCTACTTGGCTGCCAAGACCACGATGAATCGATGAATGAGAACATAGGACTGTGCCAAGCCTCTCAAATAGCGAGAGAGAGAGGAGGGAGGGAGGGAGGGAGGCAAGTTTACAATCCTGGTGTTCAGGAGTAGAAGCTGGAGGATCACAAGTTTAAGGTTATTTTTGAGCTACAAAATAAGTTCAGGTTGGGCGGTGGTGGCACATGCCTTTAATCCCAGCACTTGGGAGGCAGAGGCAGACGAATCTCTGTGAGTTTGAGACCAGCCTGGTCTACAAGAGCTAGTTCCAGGACGCTCCAAAACCACAGAGAAACCCTGTCTTGAAAAAATAAATAAATAAATAAATAAATAAAAATAAGTTCAGGGTCGGCTTAGGCTACATGAAAAGCTGTCTCAATATATATAGAGAGAGAGGATAGAGTCTTACATAGCTTTTGCTGGCCTGGAATTTGCTAATAAACTAGCCTCCAACTCCTGCCTGCTGTGCCTCCCCTCTAGGATCAAAGGCATGCACTATGATACCCTGCTCAAAATACTCCTCTTAAAAGGTGTTAAGATAGCTCAGTGGATAAAAGTACTGGTCCCATGTTAGAGCTGGAGAGATGGCTTAGCTGCTAAGACAGTTGCCAGAACCCAGCTGGCAGCAAACAATACCCTGAAACTCCAGTTCCAGGGGGATTGACACCCTCTTCTAGACACTGAGCACTCATGTGATGCACAGGCATGCATGCAGGCAAAAACACTTATCCAAAAGAAAAAAAAAACAAAGTCTTCAAGCCAGGTGGTGGTATTGCATGCCTTTAAATTTAGAACTCAGGAGGTAGCGGCCAGTAGATCTCTGAGCTTGAGGTCTACAGAGTGAGTTCCACGACAACCAAGGGTACACAAACCATCACCAAAAAAAAAAAAAAAAAAAAAAACTGTGACAGACACGGGGGATGGAGCCCCAGTGTAAGTATCCTACAGCTGAGCTCAAAAGGAAGTTTTTTGCTTTAAAAAAGGGAGACAGGGGGTTAGTGGTTGCAGCAGCTAACTCCTCTCCATCCTTCTCCATCTCCAGTATTTGGCCAGTCTTCAGCTAAGCAGGATCGGGATCTAGTAGTTGTTCTAGAAGGTGCTGCTAAGCATACACACAAGAGCGGCCCTGGGAGGCCCTCGCTGACCTCTTTGTTACACAGGAATGAAAAGGCCCTGAGAGAGGAAGGACCTGGCCCTAGACTGGAGAACAAGCTGACCTCAGACACACAACCATCAAGACTGGGTTCTTAGCCCCAGGGTTCTTTCTCCTTCCCAGCAGAGTACAAAGGGTTGGAGGTTAAATGCTCAGGCCTGGAGGGAATGGGAGAGCTAAGCATTTGTGTGACTTGGGCAGGTCATTTGCCCTTTTCTGGCCAAGTCCTGGGTCCCTAAACACAGATAACACTTTTCTCTCCTTGTAAGGACTCAAGAAGAAGCCTGTGCACAGTGAGTTGCTGCTGTGTGACCACTCCAGGCAGGGTGGAGTGCCTTGATGGCTTTCTGCAGGGCTGCTGGTCAGAGAAGGACAGATGGAGAAGCTGTGTTCAAAGGCATTTGTCGGGGCTGGAAAGATGGCTGCTCTTGTAGACTGTGACAGCATCAACCATCTGCAACTCCAGTTCTAGGGGCTCCAACACCTCTTCTGGCTCTCACAGGTGCTGCAGACATATATACACAAAGAACACTCATACACACGAAACATTTGTGAAGTCATTTTACTCAGTGCTTTACCAAAGAGAACACTCAACCAGAATCATTCCACTTCAGAAGGCTGGGTTAGGACAGAAAGGTGACAGAGACAATTTTGGAGGAAGTCCTGCATCCAGCCTGGGTTGCTGCCCCTTTGCTTCTGCTTCTTGGCTCCCTGTCTGCTGGACCAAGGGTCATAGACATCATCAGAAAGAAAGCCCACACAGGCAGATGTACCCTTGGGTTGCAGCCCCAGAGGCCCTGGTGTTGACAGCTTCACTCTGGGGGGAACCAGGTCCTGCCAGGGCCTTTAGACGTAGAGTGGTGGGAAGGGCAGCTCAGTTGTGGGCTGGAGCCTGCAGAGAGTGCAAGAGTTGGCCCTAAGGGACTACTGTGTCTAGCCTTGAGGGTCCTCTCGGGAGGGTCTCTGAGTCACTTACCAACTGTGCCACCTACCAGTTCTCTGGGCTCCAGACAGTGCCAGCCGCGGCCTCCATGAGGTGGAAAGTATAGGCTTGGCGCGAGAGGTTGGAGAGGTTCTGCTCACTCTTGTGCACTACTTCTCCGTGGATCAGGACCAGACCCCCTTGGGGTACCATCCAGTTACCAGCAATCACCAGCAGCCCCACACACAGCCCTCCTCCATCAAAGGAGGTGAAGTGTCCCCACCCTTTCTCTTCGCATCTACAGAAGATCAGGCTCTCATACCTGCTACAAGATGAGGGTCCCCTGGGATTGAGCCTTCTCCTCTACTGTGACCTGCCAGGCATGGTAGCTGATGCCTTTAAACCCAGTACTTAGGAGGCAGAGGCAGGAGGGTCTCATTGAATTTGAGGCCAGCCTGGGCTACAAAGCCTTGCTTTTTCAGGATAGCCAAAAACAGAGAAAGCCTGTCTCAAAGAGACAATAATAATAAGGGCCCTCTCTTCCCTGGGTGGGGAATCAGTCAGTGGGGACCTGGTGACACTGACTTGGAACCCAGTGTTCCCTTTCCATCAGGAAAATCAGACAGTCCCTGGCAACACACACTGAGTGTTTGTGTGCCTCAGATTCCCTGTAAACATCTGCACACACTGCCTTCCACCTGGGAGAACAGAGGCTCAGAGATTTAATCGTCTACCCCAAGAAATGGCCCCTGGACGGTCTGGGTGTTAGCCTGACCTCGAAGGCCTGCTGGAAGCACACTGCTTGCTGACATCCAAGCCGGGTACCAGCACCCCACCTCCCATTCTGCAATTTCATAGCCCTCAGGTGGCAGGCACCAATGAGTCTTTTGGATGCCAAGGGTGGGACAAACACAGACCTCCAGGCATGGCCATCTGGCTCTCTGCTCGGCAACCCACCTACCTCTCCGTACTGGCAAAGGCACAAAGAGGTTGTTATCCCAGGCTGGCTCTGACCCAAGGAAGCTGGTGCCCGCAGGGGCTCTGATCATTCTTCTTGACACCCCTCCTGTGAAGGAACATGGAGCCTTGAGTCTATGCTCATATGTCGCTCTCCCTGGGGGTAGGCTGGGCAGGGATAGATCCTCACTGGTATGGGAGCCAGGGATGAACCAGAGGCAGCCGTTCTCCAGCAAGGCGTCTTCCATGGCAATCCACACACCCAGCACGCGGCCCAGGGGCTCCGTGTACAGAAAGGTAGCATCTTGGTGAGGGGACACTGTAATAGACCCACCTGGGGGTGAGGTACAAGGCCCTTGGCCAGGGCCCACCTCACCTTGGCCAGGTTCTCATTCCATAATCTTCTCAGGGCCAACCTATCACCGGTGAAGAGTCTCACTACTGCCTGGCCTACAAGCTCTGGGAAAAAGATTACACCCCTGCAAGTTTCTATCTCTTCAACTTTAGAGTGGTTCCAACCACAGCCTGCCTCAAAGGTCTGCTAAAGGCTTCTTTAAGACAACCTATTAACCGGCGGT